AAGGTAATCATATAAAAAACTGAGCGACTGGTTAATAATTATCAACTTGCAGGATTTATTCGCGCCATAAAATCAATATGGTCATGGGAAACCGTCTAATAATCATTAACAGGAAAAAAAAATATTAGATGAAGTAGAGGAAGATACAAGTATTAAGAAATACCTATAAGTAAAGTTTTCCTGGGACCAGTTCTTCTAATGTGATAACTATTCGTAACAACTTATTGTTGCTGACTCCAGATAATCAAAACAGCTTCACTTGATTACTTCTGTCCTTATTATGCTTCAACTAAACACACACTACCTCCAGAAAGCACAGAGTATTTTATATAGCCTAGAAGTAAATTAACGTTTATAAGTGAAACATCTATGTACTTTGGAAGATTATCTGTCATGCTAAACCGTTTCTATATTAGACAATTTATTAGTTGACAGCGAAGAGTTTACCGAATATCATGAAGTGACTAACGCGGACTGATCGACCGCAACCTATTACTCAGCTCGCAATGAAGTGTGCTCTAACCGTAGTTTTTTCTAATTTTTCATTTTCAGTGCACAAAATCATTCTGAAAAATTCTTTTCGTCCTTCAAAAAATCTAAATAGATTACTACTGGTCATCGCGTAGGAAAATGCAGACTAGTTATTCGTCGTGTGATATGACTGAGGTAAAATGGCACCAACTAAGGGATCGTACAATTAGAGTCCAATGCCTGCAAACTAACTATCTATAGTCCCATGTGTATTCAACCGAGTTAAGTGCCATCGTTTCTATCAGAAAAGGTGAGATGTACGGGAACACTCATAGGAAAACAGCGTTCCTACTTATCTATTGAGAATTCTTTACAATTTTGGTAATAATGATCAATAATAGCTTATTACTGAACGATAAGGCTTAGGCCAGTTTTGCAGGCAAGAGTAATAACTTGAACTATGGTTTAAAAATGAGATATTATCCCACTAGTGTTAGTAAGGAGACTACATCATTAAATCAGTAAGAATTCGCAATAGATGGTACGTGGAGATTTATCAACTAGGTATTAATTGGATTTACATGGTGAAACTGTCCAATATGTTTATAGCCGTTTTGGTGACTTCACCTTGTAAAGACATAATGAAAACAAGTTATTTGCATTTATAAGGCTTATACTTGGCAGAAATCGTTTAAAGTATGCACTGATACCGAATACCTGAAGAACTTTTGTGAGAGGATAGTCAGAGAAGCTGAGTAAAGATATGACATGAACTCCTACTACTGCTTTCTAAAGGAAATCTTCAGATTGAACAAAACAAGTTTGGAACTTGTCATTGGCTGAAAAATATGAGCACTCGCTCATTTTTAGCCAAAGATAAAAAACAATTAACGAATCACAGAAATCTTTTTAGCTACGAGAAGAAAAAACAGTAAGAGGGTAGATGAGGTTATCCGTCAATGATAGCGTTTTACAGAGTATACACACTGGCTGCACAGAAAATGTTATTCAGCTTATAAAAATAGAGCCTACCATAGAAAGCCCAACATGAAATGCTCTTCATAATTTCATCCTTGCAAAGTCGTTGATGAAAAAAAATAATTTCATTCACGGTTTGACTTCTATTGTTCGCATTTAAACATTATAAATTAAAAAAACACGAAGTTCAGCGAAGGAAACTTTTTTCAACGAATTTATTATTAATCTGTTCAGTCTTATATAAGTGATAATGTCTTGTTAAAGTACTAATTCCTTGAAGAAAGGTGGACACGAATAACTTAGATGTGCAATAGAAAGATTACAATACTGGATTACGTAATACGAACAATAACAATAGATTTAGTGAATGTAATAAGATGAATAAAGTGATTAAAAATGCTTTATCACAATAAATAAAGGCCTCCATGTGCATCTACCAGTTCACCTGCTCTTGTGGAACAAGGTACATTGGCCGTAGTCAGCGCCCGCTTTCAACTCGTTTACGGGAACATGTCCTAGTTTGGTTCTACTGGGGTGAGAGAAGGGCAGTTAGGAGTTCTATACATAAATACTTAATCAACTGTAATCATTCTACGGATCCACAGTTTAATTTTAAGGTTGCAAGTATAATTCGTTCAAATCTACCCAGATTTCTTCGTATTCAACTCCTAAACAGAGCTGATAGTCTTACCATCCATGAGCTCAAACCAGAACTGTGCATACAAAAGAAGTACGTCCTACCGTTATCATCACCATGGTCTTAATTAACATTAATATTATTATCACTGTATTCCCCTTCACTTATGTCTTATATTCTCATTATTTTTATCATAAATGCTCGTCGTATCACCTTATTTATTTTTACACCTCTATGGCCTTTAATTATTGCAACAAAAATGATTATTAATCTGTGGTGTTTGAATAAACTAGTGATTCCTTTGTACTTGTTGAATGCTTGATTTCGAATTCCAAATACAATAAATTCGTTCGTGCTTACCTAGTACTTCTTGACCCTATTACGTTATTCCTGGTATTCTTAGTTCGTACTATAATTCAACTACTCCTAATCATCATATAATCCTTTTAATGATCTTATTACATTCACTAAATCTCTTGTGATTATTCGCATAATGTAATCTAGTATTGTAATCTTACTATTGCGTCATCTTGATTATTCATGTTCACATTTCTTTGCGCAATTAGTACCTTAACAAAAAATTTATTATTTATATACGATTGTACAGCTTGATAATAAATTCGTTGAAAAGAGATCTCTTCGCTGAACTTCATGTTTTTATTGTTCTGCCGAGTTAGTTAATCACAAAGGTGTCTCTTAGCTAATCTTCCTTCGTTATTTCATCTCATGATTCTTATAAAGTGTTGGTGGAAGTCTCAAATTCAAGCATACGCGATGCATCTGAAACCTTATAAAACTAAGTTTTGATTTGGATAATCAGAATGTTACAATATTGGTAGGTGTTAATGGTTTTTGCTTGGTTCCTTTACCAACGAAACGTTTATTATGTTAGCAATTATAGTATATATATCTGACATAGCAGGCTCGAGACTAATTGAATAGTTGTATTGCCACCAATTGTAAATACCTGTAGACGAATGAAATGTCTCGCTCTACGAACTTGGGTGGATTGGAATCGCTGATGCTTGCTGGTTATTAACTCTATCCTCCATTTCTTTTCCATACTGGACTCATTTGGGAATAATTATTAGATTGCAATTGTCTGCTACATTTCAATTGTGTTCCACACCTTGATAGAAAGCACTTTTTAAAAGTACCATGTATAAGCTTTTTGGACAGATAGTTTGACAGGCCCTATGTAGAAAATCGAGACATCCCGCAAAGTAGCACACGATAAAGTATCAGTTTCCAAGCAAAACAAGTTAGTAGAAATAAACTAGCTGGTGAAAGAGTGATTGAATGAAATACTTTTAATGTAGTGAGTAAGGATTTGAAAAGCAGTGTTCGGATAGTAACATACATGGTAAAAAAAGAAAACCGATAAGAGACAGATAAGGAGGGACTCACATCACATTATGGATGATTATGTTTCTTACGAACAGTTACTCAGTGTTCCAGATTTCTCACCCGAGTAATTCCTGGCCATAGTAAGTTTTTTTTAGTCGTCAGTAGGAAACTCAAAAGTTAGCTGTCTATTAAATAGTTATGAGAAGAATGTGCGAAGTATGTAACAAAAGAAGAACGATTAGAAGATGTGGTGCAAAAACTGGAAAATATAAAACTTGAACTACGGAGGCTATATGAGAGTGAAATATTGTTAAGTGTTATGGTCACGGGGTGGCAAATTTTTAGTTACTTGCAAGGTTAGGTGTTGAGTGTGTTATCGCGACATTCACATTTAGATTATTTGCAACGGGGATGTAAAAAACATCTAGATGATTCATCGGTTAACTATTATTTTTGCTTCTATCCATTTCGTATTTCTTCGTACTATCTCAGCATGCATCGAGCCTTCAGGCTAGGTTGGAACTTCATATACTTTCACCTCATCGAGATGCAAAGTGTGATCGATAAACGAACTCACCAGCGATAAAGTGAAACGCTTACCACCACATTAACTTTCTTTAACCATGTATGACTGTCTTGTTTATTCATCAATCACAATTTTATGTTCATAATAAAACAATATTTGCCTTGTTGTCTCATTTTTCCTATCCTCTAGCTACTGTTCGGTATGTTATTTATGTTTCTGTGTTTGCCTGTGTTGATAAACTGCATTGTTTATTTTGTATGCTAATTATGATAATTTATGCTTTAGAAACAAGCAAAGTTTATCAAGCCAAATAACTTAATTGTTTTGACTTTGGTTAAACCAAGACGCTGTGCTCGATGGTCTAGAGAATAGCTTAGAGTTACACCTGTAGAAAATCGCTTCCTATAGAGAGGCTTACTCACAGTGCAATTCTAGTCATATGGTCAAATTTCGTACTATGTATACAGTGTGAGGGTATCCATCCATCTTCAGTATCCCATAAAAGCTCAACATCTGGCATTTCAGAGTATATTCAAATTCACTAATTGGATGAACGCTGAATAAAACGTCATAATTCCCGCAATTGATTTCGTCTCAGGTTTCTATGCGCTTCGCAAACGTCGTAGACCAATAAAGTAAACAATGGAGAACATAGAGCTACAATGGTAATCCTCAGTTAAAAGTATGCTTTATATGCATTGTTCACCCACTAAAATGAGCACGAAATACGCCTATTATACACAGAAAACAGATTCATAATGTCTGTAACCTTCGGTCTTTGACAGGTACAGATCTAACCTGAAGATACCTCAGGTGTTGAAGGAGTGTGAGGTACAGATTGTGAGAGAATAAAGAGGAGGAACTATCGAAATACAAAATGAAATTACGATTCAGTAAACTTATGGAATGTGCCATTTATTACTGATCAAAACAATCGATAGCAGTTACAGGTAACACAAGCATGGGATCAGTGTACTCTGATGAACGTTACTAGAATTTCTTACCGTAAAGTTACTCATGAGTTGCATTTTTTCTGCCATCACTCAAGGCCGTTGGCACAAGGAGGTAGGTTTGATTTAGCGAAGTCAATATGGGGAATTATCTTACTTTCTATGGGTGGATATTTTATACCAATAAACGCTATGAAGTGAGCTACCTGATACTAAGTGATAAGCTCAATAGTAAAACTCTCTCACCTTGTTAAAACGTGCACATGAAGATTTGTATACATAGTTTTATTGCAATAGGATCCCCTTTGTTGTTTGATTAGGTATGTGTATTTCTAAGCCTTAAAATCTGGTCCGTACATTTCCGATTCCACTGAGGTTTGAGTAGTGTTTTAGACCAAAATTGCGGTTTCCTTTCCCATACTTTAGTTTTCATCTGACGTATACGTAGTTACTGCAAGAAACTTTGTGGGATGCTCAATTCATCAGATTATTTGAAACACTGCCTTTTCTCCCAAAATATTCGAGAAAGCGCCTATCCATCTTTCGAGCTGTCATTTTCAGGTACTATCACTGACATGTTTCTTAAGTAACATGTGTGAAAAGTATACACTAAATACACGTTTAACTGACATGGTGTTCAGTGGCAATTAATTCAAAATTTGGAAGCATGGACGGCAGAATAGTATCAGCCTACCGCATAGAAAAAACTAGGGCATCCTTCATGTTTGTTTTTAATTGATAGGCAAATTTGACACTACGTGAAGCTGTCAGGTAGATGTAAGGTGTAACGAATTCTGATAGTAGATCCCTTAGTTTCCAACTGTATGAGGGTTTCAAAGCGGTCTGATTGTCAGTGTAAACTTCTGGAAGATTATATGGACCGTTTTTTCTACACTACCGTTTCCTGCCATTGTTTGGGTCAGACATTCGTACAAACTATGGAACCACATTATCTAACTTACTTCTCCAGAAGTAACCTCAGGTGTTAATCATAGTAAGACATCTGCACGCGTACTTCAATAAAACCCACACTTTTAAACAATTATGTGGTTAGACTTGGCAAATCATACAAACTGGTTGGTCAGAGCTACTTCATCACAGTTACAAATAAACCTAACGCAGTCATCAAATTAGTTCATGATTTCTCGTAAACAGACAAATTGGTAATGTTTGTGAAACGATCTGTAGTCGGATGAATGCAATATCTACCTGGTCTGTCGAAATACTTAAGAGTATAATTAACTGCAATCCAAAAATCTCACCAAGTAGCCTATCTTAGAAGTCATGACTGACACTCCGTGGAGTAACATACTTGCGGATTTATGTCATATTAATATTCCCACTATCAAACCCAAAAACTATGCGGCTTTCTAAGCCACACCCAACGTATAAAGAGAAGACGGAGACAAAAGTTAAATGTTTATACTGTTGAACACTTCGAAACTCACGCTGATCCGTGATCCCCGCAAAAAAATACTAGATAGGGAGACATTATAGCCGCCTTTTAGTACTTGCTTTTACAATAAGTTCCGGAGATACTGTGTCACTGTTTTATTCTCGTTTCAGCTTAACAATACACACAGTTAATCGTGAAAATCTACAAGAAATAAAATGCAAGGCTATGCTTCTTATACTGGAGGCCCAGTTGGGTTTGGTAACTTGCCTGTTGTTTTATATGTCTAATCAGGTGATCCTAACAGCAAGTATATTTCGAGTACAGAACGCAGCAACGTAATTTCAAAATTTGTACAAGAGAAACTTATTAGTGAATTATGTGTAGAAGAGTGGAAAGATTGGCGAAAGTGCATACGTGGAAAACGAGGCGAGTGGTTCGGTACCTGGAAATGCAAACCTAAATATCAGATATTTGAACAGTGTCAGATGAGGTAAGATAGTTTTGTCTAAATATACGTTATCACTTAAACGAAAACAAATAAAGCTGAGTCTAACCATTTATATCGGAAGCCATCCTAATATTTGCACAATGAGTCATTTGAATGCGCTTCTCTTCTTTCTTCAGGTACCTTCTAGACCTAGATGAACTCAAAAAATTTGAAGAGGAATACTTAAGTATGCGTAGTGAATATCGGAAAACTGGTGTGGGTCGCGCTTTCATGACGAAAGAACGAATACAAGAACTGTGCGAGTTGTAAATGCCCCCTTTTATAACTGTAGCACACTCCAGTTCATAAATATATATATATATAACTATGATTATGTGTATTTATCCAAATGTCGATTTGAAAAAGAGTAATACGAGAGGAAGTTGAACATAAGCTTTCATGATTTATGATAACATAAGTAAACGTAATTAATGCAAATCATACGGGAATTTATAGTTTTAACTCCGGAGTTAAACAACAATGAAATGCTTTACAATCCCTAATGGCAAAAATCAATTGAACTGACGCGAGACAAATGATACTGACAAAAAGTTTAACACGAGGAAGGAAATCACATACAAAACACCAAAATGGTGATTTCTTTTGTAAATGAAACAAGTTAGACGAAGATAGGAGGTCATCGACATAATGCATAGTAGGATAACTTAGTGATTAGGTTTCCAGATGCAGATTTCGCGCGTTAGCACGTGAAAATAAAAGATAGAGTAGTCCTATTGATTGGAATAACTTTCCACTTCTATGAATGCTAATAGTTTCTGTTTTGTTATTGGGGAGTAGTGCCGAACATTGAAGCTTCCCGACGACGCCTGTGAGAAGCTTCATGCTTCAACGGCTGTTTCTGACTCTGAGAATTTGGTGCGGCGTGTTGTACTGGAGGAGGTAAAGCTGTTGGTGCAGGAGCTGCTTCTTGTTTCCTATGGAAGGAAAACATTGTGTAAAATAGACTCGTGGTAGAAAGAATCCAGTAGAAAACGAAAAATTATAATCATTTATCAACCATTTATAAACATCTTTCCATACTCAACATTTCAGGCTCGACAAGTGACAATTTTATACTAGCGAGATCACCTTTCATACACTTAGTGTGGTATACATCTCAAGGACTCACTCATCTGTACGTGTCATTAACCCACTTAGAATGAATATAATCGGCAAGGATTATAGGCTACATATCAATGAACTGATAACTTGGATGACTTCCAAAGTAAGCATAGTCCTGGAAATTAAACGAAAAATACATGAAGTATATTTCCTTAGAACATACTGTTAAGTAAGTTGATATTCAGAATGAAAGGGTTCTATAGTACTTATGTAGGCAAATATATTACTAGTGAGATAAACGAGGCGACCAACATATAAAATTACTTTGACTTTCAATCTCAAACTAGTTATTTCTGAAGAACAGCAACTAGAGTAACAGTCCTCGTTTGGGTGAATTTTTGCCAGATGGAATTGTTTTGTGTATCTCGGATTGATAAGTGTTTCTCAATACGGGATCATAGCTAAGAGGTTAATAAAAAACTGATGCCTCTAAAATATGAAAAAAAATTAGATGAAATTGGCAGATCCTAATGATTTGAAAACGTGGGTGACATGGTTCACAATCGTTTGCAATGGTAGAGGTGTATTCACTTCAAGACTTGAGTTCCAAAATTTCCTCACATCTTTCTCTATACTTGTTACTTTCTAACGCTACTACTCCGAGAATTGTCTTGACAACTTTATGTTGCTGTGCTAACGTGATATAGCAGCATGAACCGATGTACATGTCAGAATCTACGTTGCATATGACCGACTGTTAAGCCCTAACGTACATGATTTGACGTAAAACTTCTGGATGGCACCTCATAAGCCATGATTTAGCAATGGTTATTTAACCAAAAAACCTCTAGCAAGGTAGTGGACGCGTCTAGTACACCTTTTAATGAGACCAAGAATGTTTTTGCGTTACTGACCAACTATCTGACTGGAACTATGTTGTAAACTATGACCCAGCAAACTTACATGCTACAGGATGTATCGGGTAACAGTTTTCGACTATTTACTCTGGATATGTTAGAACGTTTCGATAGGAACGAGTTTCTGAACAGTCATTAAATTAACGTGAGACATAATTTAGTCTACGTGAATCAAGTGATTTAAATACTCATTATAGTGTACTCTCAGTTTTAAGTGCTTGCAGTACATATTGCTTGTCTTCTTCATTTTAGATTGCTATATGACGGCGGCGACACTACTAATCCAGTCTTCTCAGGTGTCAAAAGACAATCTTCCACAGTATGTGGGTCTGAGAAATGATAAGTGCCCTCATACTTTAAGGTCATTTTGTTTACACTCAAATCTCTTATTCACTGCTTCATCTTTTTTCTGTTTTCAGTATCGCCCGTCCTCATCTAGCTTTGAGTTTCATGTGTGCCACTAATGTGGACAAAATGCTATTTCTGGTCAGTAACTATGGATTAGATAATCATTTATTCTTAGCAAGTACCATCATAAAGAGAGACACTATTCAACCAGGTGACCCCCAAGATAGACAAAAATAGACTGCCTTGCTACCAGCTACAATTTATGTGTGTGACAGAAGACGACCGCTTCTCATAGAGCGTGCATTTTGATGCGTTTTACTGAATAAAATACAGCGCTGATACTACTAATTTAAACCAAAAGTTAGGGAAATAACAGATTTTATAAGCTTTTACTGAATTGATGAAAAACGACTTCAAAGTAAACTGACAACGATCACGGACAATTGTTGACAAAAAAAGCAAATTGGATTGAGGATGCAACAGCAATGGGTAACACTAGGTACTATAATATCAGCCGTCGGTGAGACTACTTCAGAGAAAGACAACAGCAATTCACTGCTCAGCGAATTGTAATCATGGATAGGGAACTTTAAGAGATATTTTAACTGACTTTCATTCTTTCCCAAGTTACCCATTACTTTCAAACAATCTAACACAAGTCGCCCAAATATTTGCGAAATTCAGAAAGATCATATCTAAATTTAAACGAAGTAGCGCAGTATGATCTCTTAGGTTAACACCAGATATCTTTAAGGATAAGGGATCAGTTTCATCACTAAGGTTGGCTGCGACACACTAGAGATAGTCTAAAAATGGAATCTAGTCATATCTGACTGGTCTTTATCAGGGATTGTCCCAGCCTATAATAAAAGATTGGGATCATGTGGCAAGTTTAGAGAAATCTGTTTAACTAATAAAGTTTAAAATATCAGTCCCTACAATAACCCAACGCGCAAGTAGAATTTCAAAGGAAACATGTTTCCGACCTGGACGTAGATGTATTGACCAAAAATTTGATCTCAACGAGGCTTTAAAATAGATTCAGACATATTGGTACCCAACTGATTAGTACTCTGACTAAAGAGCACTGTCTGACCTTTCCAATCCAAAGGTTTAGTGCCAGTGTTCGCCATTAAATGGCATATACCGGAAAGGCAAATAAACCTCATGAAAACTCCTTTAATTGGACACTAATAGTTAAGTTAGACAATCCCACAAAGGTACTTTCTTTTTAACCATATTTTCAATGTTTATATTATACTACTATTATTTAGACTCTTCAGTTGCTTTGCTAATTTCACCGAATCGTGCTGATGTGGTATAGCAGCTTGTGTCAAAATACTTTTCTGCCACTAAGTTGATTGTCGCAGACTGATTCATACAATTTTGAGAATCATTATGAAAAGTGAAAATCTACTCCGATAGATTACACTGTTGACAAAGCTTAATCAATATAAGGAAATAGACAATATAGCATAGCTTTTTGTATAGACCCCATTAATGGGTAATTCATGATACAAAACAACACCGCTCTCCTTCTATACATATATAAGAAAGTTGATAGCATTCCTGCGAAATGAATAAGGTAACCGTTTTATTGAGTGTTTAATTACCATCCATTTATACTAGCTTATGTATTGGGTTACCATGAGTGAGGTGAGACTCTAGAACCGCAATTACTTATCCCCTAGCCCTAAATCAATATGATTTTACTTTGTATTTGTGTAAAATCAATGCATCAGCGAAGGAACATCAGTTTATCGTAATCCATAAAACAAAACGTAGATATTATCAATCGGAAGAACAATGCAAATTTCGGGAACCTGGAATCAATCGACAGTTCTAAAATATATTTATATACACTCGAATTAAAATACATTATCACATAAGAACAAGATTAAGTTGTTGGTGTGAATTAATAGTTAAAACGTTCAACTTTCAGCCACCAAGTCCCGGGTTGGAACCCCCGCTCCATTTATTTTTGTTTGGGCAACCGGATAGCATTATCACATGTGACTGGTGAGTTAAATTAATTATCACATAAAATAAAGTGACGAATGAGCTGATAAGAGTTGTTTATACCATGCGTTGCTCAATAATACGGAGAGCATACGCCGTTCAAACAGCTCATAATAAGTTGAGAATACCTAAACTTTGCACACTGGTTCATACTTTTTATATCAACCATGTGAAAGTCAAAAATGACTTTATGAACAAAAATCTATATAACTACCTTACGGGGTGAAGGTATAGTATACTGGCGGCTCGAGTTAAAATAACGTTTTATGTATTTAGGTAGAAATTTAAAGTGCAGTGGTAGATAACTATTAACGGATAAAAAATAAGTAATATTTAGTTCTTAAGATTCTTGAAATCAGGAAAAATAACTATTATCCAACCAAAAAAATTGAATTTTAGGTGGTGCTTAAGCTAAATTGCAAAACATGTCCGCTCCTAAGGCAGATTGTGTGTTAAAGTACTTGATGTGATTAAGTGCGTAGTTCAGTTTTTAGTGAAACTAAATAATATTCCCTCTCTAAATCTTAAGCTTGTAAAGAGAAGGGAAACAAAACATTGCGCCATGCCTGATGTCGGTTGATGAAAACCATAAATCTTATTTGGAAACCCAAATCAGAGCCTTAGCTTAACTTTGACCATTTTGCATCACAGATGGTGACGAGAACTTTATAGGATGATAACCCCAGCTCACAACACTAATATGTGAACATAACCTTTTCCTTTTACTACAACCAATAATTCGACACGTAAAGGCTGATTATTTAGATCAAGACTACTATACTACTGTATTTTATTGTCTTTTGCTGTTAATTGTTTAGTAATTAGGCAGTTTCTTGATCGGCTGATAAATCATTTAAGTTCGTCAGTATCGCATACCTTCACCTCAATTGTCTAAAAAACTCACTAAACATAAGTCTCAAACAAATTTTGATTGTTCAATAATAAATGAACAGTTTAACAATGTGCACCTTAAATGATAAAGCAATCCTCAAATGTTTATTATTGGTTAAGTGACATGATAAAAACTGAATATCAGCTAAATAAAGTATGTAAAAATGAGAAGTGGGAGAGACATATGTGGAACAGGTTTGTGCAGGATGATGGTTATCTGTTATTGCGCATACAGAAACAGAAATCTTATGTTCTTACTAAAATGCAATCAATGACAGAACAAAATAATCATATAAGATATTACTCCAAGTAATCAAAAGAGCCGACCGACTAGTCAACATCATGATAATAAACACACGCAACACCGTGATAAGCACTTAACAAAGAAATCCATTATCACAGTCAAATAGATAAGCGAAAACAACTTACTTCCCGCCAAATATATACCCTGTATAAAATGAATTGACAAAAAATAATCGTGAAAACCGCGAAAAGGGTGTGACAATCTTAACAGATTACTAGAAATCTTTTAGCTAAATGTGCAGAAAACAATTTAAGAACCCTATACCAGAAGTTAAATGTAGAAACTTCTGAAGATGATACTGAATTGTGAGTTGTCTTTCTGGGTTATAGACATATTTAACTGTTGTTTACATGAGTTAACTTTGACTAAAAAAAACTTTGGATAGTCAAATACTGCAATTGATGGTTTTCAGATAAACAGCCAGCCACAATTTTATCAACCTGATAAAAAGTTACTGAACTTTAACTAGGCTTTCTAGAAAAACAACTTTTCCGGTCCGACTGTTTTAAACTAGTTAAGAAAAATGACATATACCAAAGAATGGATATCAGGACAGAATTATTGGAGAGATCAATGAAGCTGAATAAATTTATCATCATAATATAGTACGTAGTAAAGGATGAACGAGATATAGAGAGCGAGGCAAGGAAGAACGCTTTTTTGACTGACCTTATCTATAATACTTGTCTTAAAAATTAACCTTTGTGTGAAGACACGTATATTTACTGGATCATAGAAAATACTACGTATTACTTAGAAATATCCAGATAAAATAACTCCCGCTGTGCCAAACACCAAAGAATCTCGATCACTTTTATTTGGAAATTATATGTTAATGTCTGAAGAAGGAGCATAGTGACGAAACATACAGCACAAACGAATACTAAAGCAAGCAGGAGTTTTTATTTATTCAAAAAGCAAAGGATGCTAGTGCCGAAAATCTAAATCCACTCAAGTACCATGACATTAAGAGTAACGGACCGATAAAGTAGGATGCTTAGAATACTTTTATCTTTGGAAGGAAATCTTAAATAAACCCAAGGGGTGCAGATTTATATAAACATATTTAGTTATACAATTTGCCGATCCAATCGTTGCAAAGAGCGGTTACTTTTTAACCGAACGATATTATTGAGAACAGTCTACACTAACTGGAATCATCTCAATATCAAGGAGTCTTGTGATCGATATAATTACGTGAGTAAAAGTCAGTTTTAAGTGACATTAAATATACATCTTATTGATCAGTCGCCTCATGCTAAAAGCGAATAAACTTTTTTGCAGCTAATAGGCGTTATTCTGTGGATCCTGTTGATTTCATTCAGCATAAAATGGAAATCTTTCCAAGTTTTCGCTGCGAACAGGTGGTTATTGAGTCGATAGTCCGTGAAGATACTGATCGTTAAACTGAGCCATGTAGTCAGGTGGAGACTACCTGGTTGGTGTCCACGTGGTTATCTTAGCCAGTCGTAAGACTTTGGGTGATATGGATCATAATCGTTCGCAGTGGCACAGGTGCATTTACAATTTGTCTTAGCTTAGATTCTATCTAAGTTTCTGAATTCCCCATAAATTCATTTTCTCGTTCTTTACTTCACTACATCATATTTTTTCGAATTATATGTTTTATGCCTAATCTTCCCTATTACCACTAATACTGTTACTAATTCTATTGCTCTTCGATTTACCCTGACAATTTCATCTCAGTGTGCTAATTCGGTGTGGAAACTTGAACTGATGTATATATGTGCCAGGTTCAACTTTGTGATTGGCTGAATGCTTATGTCAGCAATAAATTCGGTTTAACAGAGTATGCACAAATAAACATGAATCACTATGAACAAAAACTTTACAATAAAAATGACTGATTGTAATGCACCTTACTCATGTATCTACAAAAATTGAAGCATATGAAACTTATGCGGACATATAACTCACCAAATAACACTCACATTTTAAAAGGACACAACACCAACGACATTAAGTGCCACAACATTCTAATTGACAACAAATGCAAGAAATAACAAAATATACACATTAAAAACTTTAAAATCCCAAAATCGTACAGCGATTAATGATATAAAGTTTACAAACAGACACCTGCAAACCCAGGAATTGTATAAAATACTATCTCTTCAATAGTTAAATAAAGTCTTTTGAGTATAAATACACGCTAGTTAGACTTTTCAGTCTAAAAATGTAGCAAATCTATAAATAAAATAGCATTTTCATAGGTAAAGCGGAAGTAAATTCATTTGTTTAATGCAAGCACTTCGTTTAAAGTGGAATTATAGTTGACGTAAACACATTTTAGCAAATGTCGATTTGATCGATCACAGCGCAGTATATGAACCATACACAGAATATGAAATACAACAACAACGGATGAAGCATGCAATAAAAGAAATTTACATATTACCAACAAATACTTACATCCTAGTGCTATTATGAGTACCAATACAACTGCACCAATGATTATATTCATCTGAAAATAAACAAGATATTATGTAGTAATATGAATTTTAGGAATGAAAATCTTGGTGGTTGTTCTAATTGTTCTGTAAAGATATACGGTGCTCTAGAACAATTTAACTCGTCAACCCCATACACTACACAGGTGGCTACAGTTCAAGAATGCGAATCAGATCTGAGTCAGTCATATGAGTCACCGACTTAGTTTGTTACCGAATAGGTCACAACGGTTGATTACTAAATCCCAATAATAAAAAAGGGTTAACTCTGGCCCTAAAATACTAATATTAATCTATTAATATTAGGATCGATTAAAACCGGAAACTACTGTAAAGAATGTGAACGACGGACTCCGTTATCCACGAAACGGTTTAGAAGAGTAATGAGGTTCAGAGAGGCATCAAAACCTCACTTTAAGTCGGATTTCGAAGTTCAACTGAGAAGTGACTTACATAAACTTGGTTTGAATCCCACTACAACCTGTTGATCAATCATTTTAGAAACCAATACCAATAAAAGTTATCCGAAAAATAGTGCCAACTACAACATTGTGAAGCACGATATTCCTGTAAACGACTACATGATTGGTTGAGACCTACCGCGGCACAATGATAATTTAAGAATATTACGCTTATTTAGGAAAACGAAGGCGTAACAACATAAGAATTTTAGCAAAGTTATGCAGGTCAAACTTATTCTGAACGAAGAGGTTATTGTATCAGCTTCAGTATATTATCCAATCAACAGAATCGTAAATTCGGTGTGAGCTTTCATGCTAAAAAGATTTTTGTACCACTGAATAGCTTTTTCCAGCAGTTTTGATACTCAGATTATTAATAACACTAGTAAGACTAACCCCTAAGGACAATAGGTTATTTCATTTCAGGTATCTGTTGCAGACCAACTTGGTTTCATATTTCGACGCCAGAAATATCTTCAATATGCTAAAAGTGGCTCAAACCTTAGCTTGTTTATTAAATAGTACTGCAAGTGAAGATGACTAAACCTCAAGAGGGCCCTTTACATAAATTAATTAGGTACAATAACAATACACCGATTTCGCAACTTCGACCGTCTTTTAATTTATCACCGACGATAAAGTTGTTATGCTATTATATCACTCGCGGAAATAGGACGGAATAATTAGTAACGTAAAGTATGAGAGTTCATCAATATCGCTATTCACTAATATCAACAGAAATCATACAAGAAATTAAAACCAATAAGGGTTTTCAAATAGCTGAACATACATACCTTCATATTTTTCCACCAATATTTGTTCTTCAATTTACCAGCACTGGCCTCGAACTGTGAAGCGCCTGCCTGTAAAGCATCTGTGAGAATGAAAATCACAATGAACCCCATTCGTTAATAAGAAATATTGAGTGAGTTGTCTCCTCTTTTTTGTAGCTCCGCATTTTTAAACTGAATCAACTGACCTGTCTTTACACATAAGTTCCCAGATGTTGAGATGGATTACATTTTGATACTGGTATCATGGGAGTTGAAAGCATATCTATAGACGCGATTTTCATTTAGCTGAATTTCACTTTTAGTCATTACCGAAAAGACGTTGACTTCGACACCACAAACATGGTGTTGATACTTTTCAGGCACAACGATGATCGAACATGACCACCGATTACTATGTCTGGGAGATACATTCTTCTGAACACTGAGCATATCCAAGATATTTGTCTCTCATTAATAAAAAAATCCTGATTCAAAATCGGTCTGTGTCAGTGCTTTTATAAATGACAGTAAGTGAAGTGTGTTAATGTGTCAACAGTTTACTGTTTACACTTCTTGTGACGCTTTCTTAGGAGTCACGGAAAGTCAAAAACATTTTGATCAGAGATAACTCCCTACGTCGAAAGATTGTTATAAAACGACCACCAGCTTTTTAAAAATCAATTCTGAAGATAATATGCAGGCTACATCACATATATGGAGTATTTATCGCGAGAATAATCGGATACACAACTTCCCTAGACTGAGTGGAATTTTCATTGCTGACCTGAGGGTTGTAAGTCTAAACTTAAAGTCTGACGTCCCCGGAATGATGTGAACTGCTGACCTGAAACTTTGGACGAAATGCCCAATTATAACAGCTCACGCGCTTACCCTCACCCATCTTAAATGGTAATCACTTCAATACCCGTCATTAATTTTTTTCTTGTAGAGCTACATACTTACAGTTTACAGAAAGAGGTAGCGAACACCAAATTTTATTTCTAAGTAGCAAGGTATGACTTGGAACCGTAAAATGCAAACACATTAAATCTATGGTGCGGAGCCTACCTGCTCGATCATCCAACTGGCTAAGTTTGGCGTCGCGCTCCAGAACTTTCTCCATGTTTACTCGCATGATATCTACTACCTCATCAACCTGAGCTTGTGTTTGTTGCAGGCGCTTGTTCTGTGGTCGCGGTTGAGGAGTCCCTCCATTGGCAACATTAGTGGCCCCTGCATCGGCTGACCTAGATAAACAGAAAATCATTTAATTTATACCGACAATCTTAGTTTAACAGGATAGCTATGATAAGATACCTACATCTTCGTAAACAGCTCAAAGACACCGCGTAATTCTGAGATCCATATACTGATTGAGTTGATGAAACAAAAGCAAATGCATTAAATAGTTCCCATGGAATGTAAGAATCTCACACTAAAAGAAGCCTAAATGTCTAGTTGAGAAAATATCTGATATATAACAGTACAGACCTATTGTATGACTCATTCGGCATGGTCGTATAAGTAACATCCATTATCTTTGTGATCAAATAATTTATTTCTCTGAGCTCGCTTCTTAATGTACCGGTATATTTCTAGACCTTTGATCAAATTTTCAGTAGTCTAAAAACTCCACTGCTCTAGTTCTATTTGTAACCTTAGTTTATCTCAGCGCAGTAGGTTTTATGTAATCAGTTTCAGATTGGAACGGACAGTAGGCTAGGTGGCTTATGTTTGTCCTGACAATGGTGGTCTCTCAGTTAATGCAATCTTACTTTTAAATAGTCAACGGATGGAGCTTCAATCACGTGTTGAGGTAATGGATTCCAAGTTAATTGCTCTGGGGTTGTGAACATTTTTAGAGTGTCCTCGTAGACTCTCTTTTGGAAGATGAAAAAGTGAGGGTATATCAAGTGCGAATTTATCATGTAGTAATTCTAAGCCTGAGATCAAGTCACCTCTAGTTTTTCTAAATGACAACGGGAATAGATTTAGTTTAGCCAGTCGAACATCACATGGGAGCTTCGGTATTCCGGGACTTAGCTTAGTTCCTGTTATTTGAACCCTCTCCAGAATCTCTCTGTCGTTTTAAGAAGGAGCTAGCCGCTTGTATGCATTTCTCAAGTTTGTGATGCACGGATACTATAAACAAAGTCAAAAGTTTTAGCCTCGACATGACTAAAGGCTCTATGTATTGACCTTGGGGTTCTAAAACCTTCGGCGGCTATTGCACGGCAGTTTTGGCTAACGATGACTCCAAAGTCATTGTGTCTGGACAACAAGTAGCTTACTGTTATTCATCATGTATGTATTTGCACCACGGTGATCGGTATGCCTCACAATACATTTGGATGTTTTTATCGGAAACTGTGAGGTTTGAGATCAGATAATTTCTTCAAGTCATCTTGATGTTCTGAGCTATCACCTTTACTTCTTATCGCCCTCCATATCTTGACATCGTCAGCACATAGCAAGACCGGTGATGATAGGAGACGAGGAAGGTCACTTACACACAAGATGAATAACACTGGTCCCAAAAACGTACCTTGAGGTGCTCTACTAAGCACAGTTTCCCAACTGAACAACTTGGAGTTCACACGCACTCGAATAGTTTCAGGTTTTCCATTGTGGTCTGACTTTATTCGGCTCGTGAATTCAACTATCAAATTACTACAGTCCCCACAAACCTCCATCCTGATAATAATCACCATATGCCCACTGGTGACCGGCTTCAAGAGGTATTTCCTGGAGTTCTAGTGAGAATCCATGACCAGTGGAATCCAACCGTGTCTGTTATGAGGCATTTAAATATTGAAAACAGTGACAAACGGTTGAGCAATATCGTGGACCGGTTGAAGTCAGAAATTAACACCTTTGGATACTGGCTCAGTGGTCCGAAGTTCAGGCATTCGCGCGTGAGACTGAAGGTTCAAGGTTCAAGTCCCGCGCGCGGGATTGTGGATGCGCACTAATGAGGAGTCCTGTGCTAGAACGAGACGGCCACCCAGTGCTTCCAGGTTTTCAGTGGTGGTCTAGCTTTAATCGGTTCGTTAACTCAACTACTGAACTGTTACCATCTCCACGAACCCTCATTCTGATTAATTAGTTTTTTTCGAAGGATGATAACCTTGCCGTTGCTGTGAAATTAAACTCTGGATCATTTGTCATCGATGTAATTAGACCTTATGTGGCGGTTGCTTCAGAAATATGTACAGATGGAAGCGATATTTCCTCCCAATTTCGTGTCAAATTAAAAGGAACTGTAGTGGCATTGGACCGTAACCTCACAATCCTCAAAGCTGAACACGAGACAACTCGGAAAATAGATATTCAATATTTAAAGCAGAGAAATTCTTAACGATGGAGAGGGCGGAAACAATGGGTTGAATTGATTGGAGTTGATCGGATGGCATGGCTCGGCCATTCAGGCGTGGTCCCTGCTGAATGTCACCTTATGTCTTTTATTCATATTAAATATATTGTTCTATCTCTAGTCTAAGCTTGTTCTACATCATGTATTGGTGGTTGTTACGATACGATGAGTTGGTGTAGATGATGATATGACTTCTACCTAAGATCTTATAGATTAGGCAGTTATATCATGACAAGTCTACAATTTTAGGATAAGGTCTATTATTAGCGCAGTACTAATATCATAGTAAGCAATAGTTTCACAAAACTATGTAACGTGATTACAAGTCTTATATGCACCTTATTAATACAGAGAGTTTATATTATTTGCAAGTAGCTAAACCGTCGCGACGTATCCTCTGTTTGGGATAGATTGCGCATATATATCACATAAAAAGAAATAACCTTTAAAATTAATTTTTTGGTCGTAATAAAAACTAGTGTGTTTAATCAGTCATGTGTGAATATTGTTAACCGCCGTAATATGAAACCTGAATTATCTAGACATTATGAATGTAACCATTTTTGACAAGCATTTGAAATATCAGTTTCATGAAGTGTAAATGAACAAGCCTACGTCGTCTGACTGACTCAACAAATATCTATCGACTTTAAACGTATAAATATGAATAAGGTCAACTGTATCAATGAACATTTACAATGTTATTCTTATTTATTTTCCTTATTATTATTATTATTATTATTATTATTATTATTATTATTATTATTATTATGTCCATTCAATCCATTGACACAAATTCTTTGCATTTTAAATTTTCCTATATTGCAATGTTACAATTTGTAATTTATATATATATATATTGCAAATGAATACGTTGATATAATCAGTGGTTATGAATAACAATATGAAATTCTTGCATTTTGTATGATTTTCACTATTTTAAAATATTCCTATTAAAATAAAATTATAGATAAGTGTTTAACCTTTATATGTATTATACATTGCACATCGGTTCTTAACTCTTCTGAGTTTATAGAAACTACGTCATCCTCGTCGTTACTTAACGTTTCATCCAAATCGACATTTCCTCGATGCATCAACGGCGTTGTAAAGTTAGTCGACATGCTTGTTCCACTGTACAACTGCGGTTCAGCCTGTAAGTTCAACGGCGTTGGTGGTAGTCTACCGTGAAGTTCTTGATAAAACTGGCTTACATTGTAAGTCCCTGTGCGTCCACTTCAAAATTCGTGATTGTCTCAAAAGTTCGTATTATAGTTTTTCTCGGTAGTAGTGGTCTCTGACATATCGGGCAAACGTTCCGTCGGATATTTCGATTAAAGACGATCATTGTTAAAACTACAAAATAATGTTATGTAGCTTTGATTTACCTTTCAACCGTATCACTTCTGATCGTACCCTCTACAATTAAGGTTACTGGGTGCGAACAAGGTGGACGCGACACAAGATATGGTGAGCATTACTGATGATGGGAGCTAAGTCGATGTTTCGCGACTTATAAATGCAATACAAACGGGTATCGCCTTCAAATTCATATCAAGGGCTACGACCTGATATAAATAGATATTCTCGTTATTCGTCTTGTATGTTCCGTCCAAACCAATAACATCACCGAAACGGTCTGCAAAAATCTTTTGATCACCAGTGCTGAAGAAAAAGTACGATAGACAGTTCTCATAGTCTAATTCGTATTCGCATCGCCCACCCAAAGATGTTATGTGCGCTTTCAATTTCCCGTAATCACCTATCGTTTACATTATAAATTGGCAAATGGCTTAACAGGAATGTTCGCCTGTGAGAACACTTTGTACCGCATATTATAGATATCTTGATCAGTCAGTAGTTTCCCATAAGAATGGTAAGCATAATTCTTAATGTGGAATGAAGCAGTACCAGATATTAGCAGCGGCCGCACATTTTCAAACTGGGCCTCTGTTAACCTGCGCACCCATGAATTTCCTTGGTACCTTAGGGAATCGCACTCGTGATTGTGATGCACATTCCCACGTACAGCAGTCCAGTAGCCGTCGATAATCTTACAATATATGAAGGCCGGACATTCAGTGTTCATGGAAGCCCTTCATGACGAAAAATGTTAATAACATTTATAAAATTACTTCCTCCGTCTAATCCGCTGTGACGAACCGCTAGATGTTATACGGCCATGTCTCCAGCACACAAATTTAATGTACGAGTTTTCATTTCTGCACAAATGCGAATCTCGAACTACATAATGACAGTAAGTTGATCTTTCATAATTTGTGATAGCGGACTTCAACGCTTCAATCGATGGGAACGCAACGAGAAACAACGTTGTCAAAAAGATTCCTCTATTCTGTTACGTGAGAAACAACAGCGCTTGTACTGGCACGTTACTGTCCTCCATAATGATGATTAAAATGTACTTCGTCGACAAGTACTGATGTTTTATAGCAATCCGACAAAACATAACTAACAAATTAAAACGAACTTCAAAACTAGCCATTTCATTGGACGAAACGGGATGAAAAATATTGCAATTTTGCGTTGAAAAACATTTTTAAAAAGAGTGGGTGGGTTTTTTAAAAAATTGCCGTGGGGCATCGTCGCGACGATACAAAGAAAAAGCCCCAAACAATCTGCTGAATTTATGGGGAGTCATTTTGTATTGATAGTTCCGACTGATGTTTCAAAGTAGAACAATGTCCCCACAATATTTGGCAAAAAATCTCATGCTTTTGCTGCGTATATGTGATGTTACTATCACATGGTGGTTTACACAAAAGTTGGTAAATTAGTCACTGACAAAGGTCTATACTCCTCAGAATCCATTCTTATGCTTGATAGTTTTATGTCCCAACTCGCTGATTAGAACAGTAGGAATTATCAATCTGGCTTCATCAAAATATTTGGAATCCTATGGAGCCATATATTGTTATGTTACTGTCAATAATTTTAATACTGAAAACAAGGAGAACCTACTATTCCCCTGGGTATAT